GTTTGGTGTTGCTGGATATGTATCTCAAGATTGTTGGGCCCCTTGAAGGCTCTCCGAATCTCCCGCGGCCACGGCTCGCAGCATCTCGAACATCTAATCAGAACGCACCTCTGGTAGGGTTTTTCGACGCGCGACAAAGACCCCTCCCCAGAGGGCCTCGCGACGGCCCTGCCTAGCCCCATTGGGAGGTCATTCGGAACCTTTTGCCCCCCAAACACGTTTGCCCCAAGACCCCCCAAAAGCCCCTGAGGAGCCCTTTGAGCCCTCAGACAAACCCCATGGGAAATCCTCGGGGGCCTGTTGGGCCACCAGCCGCGATCTCACAATCCATTGCGCAGCGTTGCTCTTCAGGCGTGTTGACGTTGTATTCGACCCTATTCTAGCCTATACCCTGACAGGCAATCTTCCTTTCCCCGCACAGCTGATACCTATTTTTTTGCCAAACTATTATGGCCTACTCCTACTGCGTCCTACGTTACGCCTGATCTACGCAACTCATATAATGCGTGCTACTTTACCCTGTTCCGCATCATCCTCCCCCGTATGCATTCTACAATGCTCTACCCCCGCTCCGCGCTGAAATTATGAGTCAGCTCTCCGCCAACCCTGCCAGGCGACTCTGCGCCCGTCGCGCGATCATGTTCGGGGGCCGTCTCTCGCAACGCTGTCGCGGCGAAGCGCATCGGCGCGTTCTGGCAATCGCAAGGGCCGCCAGCACGGCGCGAGCTTTTGCGCGGCACGATCGCACGCGGCGCCCCATGGCGCAAGCGCAGCGCACCCAGCGCGCCACGCATGCTACGTTTCTGGGCGACGCGCGAAGCATCATACAGGTTTCGATTTCGTTGTAGTCGCGCATTGTCGTCTGCGACGGCGCTTGCATGAAGAACACAAGTTTGTGGTCAGCATTTCTAAGTGGCCCCGCGCTTGCGCCGTGAACTCGCGCCCCCCAAGCGAGGCGGCGCCGGCGTCGCGCGCGGGGAACGACCCTTGGCGAGGTCACAAATGCATTCGCCGGCACTGCTCGACGCGTCGGCCCCCCCCCCTGGCGCCGCGAGGGCCCGAGCGGGCCCGCTTGGGCACCCACCTGCGGATGTCCGAATCAAGAAGACGCGCGCATCCTTGCAAGGCCCTTTTTTCTGCCGCTTCGCGACTTCCGCGTTCAACGCGCCAAGCAAGTCGGAGCTACAGGCGCGCGGCCCGAGACGCCGACGCCAGCGCGCGCGCGCCTGAGCCAGAACTCTCGCGAGAGGTTGGCCAACGACGCCTTGCCGAGGGGGGCGCCCAAGAGTGCGCGGGGCGGCTTTTCCTGCGAAATTGCCACGCGGCGCCGCGCTAATCCGAAATCGCGGCGCAACCGCTTGCGCCTCGTTGGCGCCCGTCTCGAGCGCGGCCAAGAGGGCGACCGCGTTCTCCGCCGCCACAGGCGCTGGAAGAGCGGCCGCCGCCGAGCCCCCGGCCACCGGCGCCGGCGCGCTCGCCGCGGAGATCCCCGCGCGCGCGAGGCGCTTTTGCGCGGCGCCCAGTTCCCCATTGCAAAAATGAAATCCTCGAAAGCCGCGCCCTCGATGTCGGCGATCGACATCGCCCCCTGATGGCGGAGCGCGGCCACCGTGGCCCCGAGCCAACTGGCGTCGCGCGCCGACGCACCATCCAAGGCGCCAAGAAAACTGCCGAGGTCGCCCATCGCGAAGATCGGCGGCGCGCGGCGCGAGACTGCTTGGGCGCGCGACTTGGCAAGCTCCCAGCGCGAGCACGCAAAGGGCGGCGACCGCGCGGGGCCCCAAGAAATGGCCACCAGGGCCTGCGCCCCTCCCGAGATGGTGAACGCGCCCACGCCGCGACGGGGCCCGCTGGCAAGTGCCCAACCCAAGACAGGGCCCTGGGGCATTCCCAAGAAGAAGCCATGAGCCCAGCAAAACGGGGACCTGGGGCCATCGCCCTACCCAAGACAGGGAACCAAAGGCCTGCGCCCTCCCCCTAGCACGATTGGGTCCCGAGGCCTGCACCCTACCCAAGACGGGGGTCCAGTGGCCTGCGCCCTCCCCCGCGCGCGACTGGGTCCTGGGGCCTGCGCCCTACCCGAGACCGGGGTCCAAGGTCCTGCGCCCTCCGCCTCACGAAACTGGGCCCTGGGGCCTGCGCCCTTCCCAAGACAGGGATCCAGGGGCCTGCGCCCCCCCCTCACGAAACTGGGTCCTGGGGCCTGCGCCCTGCCCGAGACCTGGAACTAAGGGCCTGCGCCAAGCCCCGCGCGCGTGATACGCACCCTGGGAGCACTGGGGCCAACGCCAGCCCAAGACAAAAAATGCCCCAGACCAGCGGGGCCGCAGCCCAGCGCACAGCCTGGCCAGGAGGCCAAGGCGACGCGAGCGAGGTGCCCACAGGGCCCGCGCTGGCGAGGGCCCGCGCGCGAAAAAGACGAGCCACCGGCAAAGCGACGAGGGGGCAGGCAGGCAAGCACGCAGCCACCAGGCACGAGGGCAAAAGCAGCACGCCACCCGCCAACAAGCCCCGCGACGAGCAGACGGACGAACGCGCGCGCCGACGAGCAGCAGACGGCGGCAAGGGGGATGGCAAAGGGGCGCGCAGGGGCAACGGCGAAGGGAACCGCGAAGCAACGCGGCGCCGAGCGAGCGAGCGAGAGCGCCGACCAGCACAATCCAGGACGACCCCACGCGAGTAACAGCGACAACCGAACGCGAGGGCGACGACGACGACGACGGCGGACGGGAAACAGAACGCAGCGACGAACGAGCACGCGACCGCGCAGGCCAGCGAACAACAAAGGCAGCCGCGACACACGAGCAGGCCACGAGGGGCGACGAGCACAAGCGATCAGCGGGGGGGCAACATGCGACGAGGGACGAGCACAGAGGGCAGGCAGGCAGGAGAAAGCGGGAGGAAGAAGAGGGGGGATAGAGAGAGAGAGAGGAACAAAAACAAAAAAACTGCGAACGACGGCGGCGCGCGCGCGGCGCGCCCCGCGCTCAAATCGCGAGCGCAGGGCAAGGCCCAGGCCCTTCCTGCAGCCAACCCGCGCTCAATTCAGGAGCGCAGGGCCGATGGGGGGAGAGGCACCTGCGCAAGCGGGAGGGCGGCCCGCCGAAGGAGCGGCGGCAACGCGCGCCAGCCGGGCGGAGGGTCTAAGGAAGGTCCGGTTCGTTAAGACGATCAGTTTCAGAACCTGCTCATTTGTAGAAGACTGATCGTCTTAACGAACCGCCCGTTAGAGCCGACTCGGCGACTCTTCTGTCACGACGAAACACAAGTTGGGGCCAAGTTGACGTTTAGATCGGCGTGACGATCCCAATGTTGGGGCCGAGTTGACGGCCCCCCGTGGATCCCCGTGGGCACTTTTGCAGACGAGCTCCGTATCAGCCTTTTCAGCCGTGCTCAACTCCAAACCAGGGATAGCTGTTGTCACTCGAGTAGGGGGTCGGCTACAGAATTGATGAACCCCCAAACTGACTTGTCCGTCGATCCACGAACTTGTTCCCTGGATATACGGCGCCTTCTGTGCATCTCTCGTAAATCCGACGAAACAAATCAATGTTAGGGCGAATCGTTTATTCAGTCGATCTCCTACTCGAGTCGATATGAGTTGCAGGTTTGTGAACCAACCGCGCCATGCACTGCTGGGGGGGTATCCTGCGGGCCCGCACCAAAAGCCACTCCGGCGAAGGCTCACCCTTGAGCGTAGCCGATACTCGAGAGACATGTTTCTTCATTCCCGGGTAACGATCGTTACCCAGAGGTGGTGGATTCTGGCGGGAGGGTAATGGTAACGGCGGCCGCGGCGTGCACCCGCCAGGGTGCGTCCGCGCCACCAGCACAATGCCTGCCAGCATGTAGGGGGGGTCCAGGCCACACACCCCAATACGATCGCTAGCGTTACCCAGGGAGGGGGGGGGTTGGGCCCGGGCGTTACTCTGGGGAGGAACAACAACAAAACGCTCGCTCCGATCGTCCAAGCCTTCGACAATGCTCCCCGACGAATGCATTTCGTGCCCGAGCCCGAACCAAGGGCACCACATGCGTACCCCCGGGGTCCTGTCGCCCACACGTCTTCGACAAGGCTCTGCGCGGAATGCCCGCCCCTGGGAAAAGGCGGAGGTACATGGGGGGCGATGAATGTAGAGAGCTGAATATCCACTCCCTCCCATCATCAGCGCCCGAACGAGCGAAGCCGTTTAGTTAACGCGCCCAAGGAAGGAATCGGACACAGCTGGGCTGTCTATATAGCAAACGCCCATGGCCGTTTAGTAGACGCCAATTGTCGGGGTCGGGGTGGATTTTCAATGGAGGCGGCAGCGAGGGCTGCGGAAAAGGGCCCCTCTGGGGCCCCTCAAGGGGCCCTTTTTCTGAACCCAAAGGAAGCCTTCGGGGCCCGAAAAGGGCACCTCCGCTCCCCCCCACTCATCGCCCCCCAGTAACTCGCGCCCAACTGGGCCATCCAGGCAACTCTTTGGCACATGCCGCGACGCGCCCAGCGCGGAATGTTCGCGCTCGCGCCCGCGCGGGTGGCCCGAAGACAACGCGTTCGGAAGCGACGCCCGCAGCCACAAGCGGCGAGCATATCCGTCTCCGCGCCCTTGCGGCCTGGACTCCAGAGGCGCAGATACGCGGTCGCACGGACGCGTTCCGCGCGGGGCATCCGCGCACAAAAGGCCCCGCATCCGCGAGCCAGTGATTTGCCGACAAGGGTCAATCCAGACCCGGGCTTTTCTGGCTTTGCAGGATCCTGCAAGATCCTACAAGACCCTGCAGGATCCTGCACCCAAGCCTGGGCCAGTGCGACCCTGCCCTGCAGGATCATGCCAGAGCCAGCGTTCTGACTGACCCTCGTGTGCATGGACCCCCGTCTCTTGAGCCCCGAGCGATGCCGCGGCCCAGGGGCCCAGCCCGCGAGGCCGCGGATACAGGTGCGTGCTTCGCCGACGGGGAGCGCCGCGCGCTGGCGCGGCGGCGCGGCGGCGGCGGCGCAGGGCGGGGCGGCGGTC